GGTAGAATAGGTTAAATAGGGGGAGGGTTTGGCACCAACAAACTAGTTTAACCCCGCCACATTCTGCATGTGCCTGTCCCAAGTCAGGAGCCTGTAATTCAGTGGTTGTCGTTTGTTGCTGTGTAACATACTCGTTTTTCGTTCATTATTTTGTACATAAATTTTGCCGTTAGTTTTCTCGTTTGAATTATTTTACATTTGTCATTTCGGGGCCTTTTATAGCTGACTATGCGGTATGGGCTTTGCTCATTGTTGAAGGCCGTACGGGGACCTATAGATCAGTGGCGTAGCTTGGCCATTTTTAAGTGTACGCCCGAACCTTGGCGAGGGGCGTGAGTGCCACCAGCAGGTTTAGGTCAGAGGACTTCCTGGTAAGAGGTTCGTTGGGTGTGAAGCACCAGGAAGCTCACTCGTTATTGAGAAAGAAATATTATTTTAAATAAATTTGTCATAAAAACTCATCAATAGTACATGTAACATACTTTAGAGTCTAATTTGTTAATTTATCAGTTATTGTGTTCATTTGGAATCTAATGGTCATAGATTTCAGAGAAAAATGTCCAAACCAGTCACTTTATAATATGTTTAAAGGGAGATGTGGGATTAAACACAAGCAATCGACAAAAATCCCAAAAAGCAAAGAGTTTCCATTTCAATGTTGTCATATATTAATTATTTTAACTTCATCTTATTTTCTCCCATTTTTATGCACAAATTTTGTTTATGGACACAGGAACTGATTAATGTTTATAGATGGTCAGGTGTAACATAAAAATGTGTAAGGCATGTGTCTCGCCTGGGATTGCTGCTGTCAGTGTAAAAGCGGAATTTAAGAAAAAAACAAAACTTTTTATTCCGATGCTTTTTATGAAATTGAATTAGCTGATATCAAAGTGTCATAACAATCTATGAAGGTATAAAGATTTAACATGTCACAAAAATTTAATCCAGTCTGTTAATTGCAAAAAAATAAATATAAAATAATCCGTCTGTCAGTTAAATACAGAAAAATGAAGAAAAAAATGTACTTTCAAATTTTGCTTCAGACATTATCTCTTAATCATAAAAAAGCTTCTGCCAAATTGTCATAAAATTCGATGAAGGTTTGACAAAGTAATTGATGTTTAACAAACTTTAACCTAAGACTATCTTACTGTATCTACTTATTAACTGCAAAAAAAAAGTCCTTTTATCAGTCAAATACGGAAAAAATATATTTTTATTATGCTCTGGATACTATCTTTTGGTCATTAGAAAGCTTCTGTCCAAATTTCATTACATTCCATGAAGGTTTGACAAAGTTATTAAATGCTTGAACAAACTTTAACCATGCACACACCAAACCTAAGTGTTGACGACGCCGACGGAATCTAAGATCGGTATGTGTCGCTTTTGCGACATAAAGGTCACAGGCTCGATATTCACACTTTGACAGAAAATGAACAAATGTATAAATAATATGATACCATTTGATTAAAAGTAAATTTCGTCACTTTTTTCTTCAATTACAAGTCATAGAGGAAAGAATTAAAAGGCTTTTAACCAGATCTTTTATTTTATTTAGATTAAATATTTTTTCTCTAAAATTTATGTGTACGCCCGGGCGTTTTGACGTAAACGTAGCTACGCGCCTGTAGATGTTAATTTCTGTCATTTGGCCTCATGTGGAGAGTTGTCTCATTGGCAATCAAAGTGCAACTCCTTATTTTTAAATGTGAAAAAAAAGTATCCGCGAAAATAAGTTTTTTTTTTACAGTAATTCAATTGTTGTATATGTATGTTTACATCAATCGTAAATTTAAATTAAAATAAATTTAAATTAATTTAAAATAAAAAAATAATCGCTATTACTTTTCCTTCATACACGATAAGAATCACAGAACTGAACTATGTCGAACATGAACTAAACCATGACACTACTGAACCAAATCATGACACTGAATTGTCAGTAATATTAAATTATATTCAAAAGAAGCTTTTGTTTCGGAAAAAATAATGGCAATTGTATAATATAACGACATAATTATGTGATGTCACAGACAGTAAAAAAAAATTTTTTATGGTTGGTACAGAGTAAACGAGTAAACAACTTTTAAATTTTGACATACGCTAGCATCATTCGGTGTCAAATTATTAACTATATAATACAAAATCGAATTTACTAACATATTAGCTATAAACAAAGATATTTACCAGCATGAATTCATGTTCAGAAGTTCCTATAGCAAAAAAAATCAGAATGTTTAAAGTGTGTCATTGTTTGTCATTAAAAACACTTAACACAATCATAGTAGTCCGATACCACATTGGTCCGACGCCCCAATAGTCCGACACCCCAATAGTCCGACACGGAATAATTGTATTACATTTTTTTTATCTTTTTAAATTAAAAGGCCTGGTGATGTGATCTTTCAGGTCACCAATTTTCGGAGTGTTCCACAAAGTCCTTAGCGTGTTACAATCTCCGTAAGTATACTTATTTGTTCACACCTAAGTTATCGAGCACACCGGTCTGCTCTTTTCACATGTACATTCCATAGAGAAATATTGTCTTTTCATGAATATAACAATATAAAAGTCTGTCTGTGCATGTTCAAAAATTAAAGATAAATATTCTTATAAAGTAGGCTTCTTTTTACTATCTTTTATACAATTTTAAGAAAAGGTCGTCTCGATTTTTGTCTTTTTTTTATTTGCGGTCTTCTCGATCTATTCACATTCAATGTTTACATCGAGATAAGGTCTGTTTGAATTTGCTTAGTAGCTTAATTTCAAAAGTGCCAATCTTTGCTGCATATCAATCGATTCCTTTGGAATTTTTTTCCTGACTTTATTTGATCTAGCTGCATATGTATACGGAAAATAAGCATGTTCCAGAGGTATACAGCCAGTAAAAAAATAAATTGAAGTTGGTGCTCCAGGAATTTATTCGCATAGCAACATTTTAAACCAACGTTACACCAAGCTCCTTTAGTCTTCTGTACTCGTCGTTTTCTATTTAAGGAGGTAAATGATAACACTGAATGGAAGTTTTGTTTTTAATTCAACTTATTTCAATTTTTAATATTTACCAGAACGTTTTCCTGTGAATTTAAAATTGATAACGTCCTTGCTAAAATGGGACAAACATTGAGAAGATCTAGTTTTCAGTGTTTAAAAGGGAGGTTATATTTTGTCACTAGATTTTCCACTGAACTATGAACTGAACTAGTACATAGCCAATTGCAAGGGTTAAGATCTATCTATGAATAAAGCCTTTATTATTTTCGGAAGGATCTCATTCGTTTTCGTAACCCCGAACGACGATGATTTATATTTTGGGCGGGAAATTTGAGGATCATTGAAAAATAAAAAGATCATGTGGTATTATTACCAATGTTACAACTCTCTAACAGAGACTACATGACATAAAATTTAACAACTATAGGCCTCCGTGCGACGTTTAATAATGAGCAAAACCCATACCGCATCGTAAGCATTATTAGGCCCCGAAAAAATATGTAAAGAAAACTAACGGCCTGATTTATACACAAAAACAATAAACGAAAATCAAATATGATATACAGCAACTAACGACAACCACTGAATTACAGGCTCGCCTCCTGACTTTGGACAGTATATATAAGACAGTGTTTTATTTTTTGTTGAAAATTTGAGAGTAAGTATATTTAAGACAGTATTTTATAGTTTTGGGGGAAAATTGAGGATCAAATACATGTATAAAACAGTTGTTAGAAATATACATTAAAAACAACAATTCTTTAATATTTTAGTGTCTAAAATTGTCTCTTTCGGGGGATATCTGAAAAAAATGGGGCTTGGTACATGTATTATAATGGGGGTAAAAAAATATTTTCTAAATGAAATTTTTTTTTTTAAAAAACAATTTGGTAGGCCACATTCAGGCAAAAGCGTACGGAATTGTACAGTTTTGTAGTTACGATAATTTGAACATATTTGTTGTCATCTATGAAACAGATATTCCATAACAATCCACCAGCTCGTACGCCATGTTCATTCATAGAGTAGTTTAGGGGTGGGTAGAACCACACTTACACTAAAAAGTGTTAAGTAAGAATCGTGTTACGCTCGTAAATGCTTAAGTTGATACAAAAAGTTCTTACTAGAGGACAAAAAAATAAGTTGTTTTCGAGTTACCCGATTTGATAAGTTCATGATAAGGGGGTGCAAAGAATTCCCTCACATCCGTTAAAAATTCGAAAGTCTTAAGGGCTGCCAATCATTCAAAAATTGATATAAGATTGCTTCTGGTTACACTCTTAGTCACTAAGACAGTCTTAAGTGCTAAGAGAGCGTCTTGTTACCGGCCCCTGGTTGATAAATTAAATTTTATTTCATAACCCGCTTCTCCCTTTTTTGCATCTTGCAAAATTGATTCTGATCAAACGCATTTCTTCACCATTTACAGTGAATTAACTATTATATATATACACACTTAATTCAATGGTACAAAAACAAAATCCGGAAATACATGTATGAATTTCTCGTTGCATTGAAGACCTGTTGGTGACCTTCTGCTGTTGTCTGTTCTATGGTCGGGTTGTTGTCTCTTTGACACATTCCCCATTTCCATTCTCAATTTTATATACGTTATAAATCCCCGCAGTAAAACTGCCTTACAAGTAAACTACGTACTATAATTTATAATTTTATGATGTTATTATTACATCACAAACACCAGTCCTTAGATATCTAGTTACTGGTGATTAATCGTCATCAAGGAGGGTCATTTCACAGCTTTGAAACAGAAAAACAAACCACTTTCTTCAATTTTATATAGAAAAAAAAACATTTAAATTAAGAGACATGAGAAGTTACAGTTTATGACAAATTACCCCTTTAATCAAATGTGATTTTAAAACTTCTTTATATTTCAATAATGGATTGATCACAGGACAGGTTTAAATAATCGTGAATTACATTTATCAAAATTTTATATAATACGTAGTTTAAGTGTTGACGACAATTTCCTGTATTTACGTATATAAGTTTCCTCTTTTCAAGTACTATTGAGTACAAGTAACTATCAGTATGATATCAAATGTAAATGTTGATAAAGTCTTTCAATCGTTGCTGCGAATAGTAGTAAGTAAGCAACTAGAATCTTTATTTGCCATTGTTTATGTAATTTGCATTGTTATTTTGAGTTATAGTGAATGAATTGTTCTAGAATATTCTAGATAGATAATGAAAATTAAGTGAATTTATGATTCAGAAAGTGTTATCAAATTCCGGAATTTACCTTGTAATAAAAATATATTGTTTATTATTATATATTTTCTATTTATCTATAGATGATTCTAGATTTAGAATGTTCTTTTGATTTTGGTATAAAAGCTAAGTGTTTTTTTGTGGTTTTTTTTTTGGGAATAAATATAATTGTAGAAAAAGATGCATCAGTAGCAAAGAAGTATTATCAGTTGATTAAGAAAGGATAAGACGGATTATTTAGCAGTTTATTCTAATGTGGTATTTATTGAATTTGACATACTGTACATACTGTAAATAACCATGAGTTATCTTTTTTAAAGTTAGAAAATGATTCCGTGTCAGTCTGATTTCGCCACAATCGTTCTATTCATGTATAAAACATCTTTTTCTAATTTCAGAAGAAGTAAACAAACAGCTTACAAAAAGTCAAATACGATGAATCAAATTCTCTGTAAGCTTGTCCTGGTAACTTCGTTTGCTGCATATTCGGCCACATCAGATGTGTCACAGATTCAATGCAATGCTACAGTTGATGAAACAACGGAAACTTCGCTACCTTTTGTAATACTTAATATCGAACATCTGTACAGCAGTGTAACAAATGGCGTTCCATACAGTAAAGCTCCCAGCATCGTACCAGGGGTTACGTTTGGAGGAAATATTTCCTCATATGCTGTCAGTTTTGCTGTATCTCGTTCAAATACACAAAAAATTACATTTGCATACAATGGATCACATATTTGTGCTTCTGCGCAACTTCGTCTAGAAACTGATACCTGCTGGAGTGGTTCCTCAACCGGATGTAACAATAAAAAAACAACATGTGATTCTACCTGTTTTCTGTCAAACGAATTCTATGAACGACATACCGTAAAACTCTTTTACAGTTTAACGTCAAGTTCTAGTATTGGTACTTGGACAATGTCAGACTGGCTATCGTTGTATACGACATCAAACAAACAACTAGAATGTTTCCATAGAGACGAGGGTTTCTACAGATTCGAAAATAGTCAATATATTAAAGAACCGAACTTAACTCGGGTTACATGTCCAATAGGACAACGTTGTCGAATCACACTAGGGAAAGTGGTCCCTTCGTCCATACCAAAAGCATATGTAGGATGTGAAAGAGATAACGGACACTATGATGGCTGTGAACAGGGATGTAGCACTTGGCAAAGATCACCATCCGGATATAGAGAAAGATGGGCTGCTATGTGTAGATACTGTTGTAATGAGAGTTTGTGTAACAACCCTGTGAAATGCAGTAATATAAAATGCGATTTAAGTTCAGCATTGACAGAAAATGATATGTCGAATTTGAGTCATAGAAATATTGGAAGTCATGTGGTTTTTGTATTGGTTTTATACATAACTCATGTACTGATTTGAAGAAAATGCTGAAGAGTTCGTTCATCTTTGATATCCTTGTAATGGATACCGCTTGTTAACCGGGACTATTAATAGACCATGTTAGAAAAGTCGTACACTGAAGAAAATAAATTTACGAACATTACATGTTTTACCATAACTGTTTCATTGAAATAATATTCAGCTTTTTATTTTGAACATATATTATATTATCTTATCACTGCTTATGGAAGTTTAGAGTAATTTTCAAAAAAAAACCTAAAACATGCAAAATCTCATTACTCGACACTTGTCGCAAACATTCATCCAAATTCATCCAAAACATTATATGTATCCTGTTGAACTAAACGTATCACTTGCACGTTTCATAAATAAAGGTAAAAGTCAGTTAAATTGTATTCAGATCACCTTCTTCAATTTTATTTCTCTTGATGTTATAAAATGCTTATGAAATAAGAAACTTTCCGAATGGTCCTGATGGGAATAAACTTGCGAGGGTAAAAGAAGTTGCTTTCTTTAAAAAAAAAACAATACGTGAACCCGAGAACGTTGACTGGTCATCGAAAATTGTTGCTGATTTTTTTGCCTTTGATTTGAAATAATTGACTGTGAGTAGAATATGGTCATGATGATATTTTTTGAAAATATGTTATTGTGTGTAGAATCTTGCAAAAGTCAATCAAAAGCACTGTTGGATTTTAGTTGTAAATTGAAAAGTGTATACAGCTACGATTTTAATATACATTTTAAGGCTTGACCATTTTATTTCTTCCTTGGAAGTGTAAATAATTTATTTTCTTCGTGTTTAATATACAAAGTCCTAATCCTATTGCGATTCCCGGTTTCTGCAAACCGGATGTCTAAAGCAAATCGTTATATAAATTTCAGCCCTCAGTTTGCTCTATTATCCGGATGCATTTATTTTATCTTTCATATCTTCATGTTTGTTTCCTGGATGACTTCAATTATTCTTATACTCATTATTGAAGCTGTCTGTACTCATGATAGAGGTAGTATAGAGTAATTGAAAGTCCAATTTTCATGTGAAGTGTAATGCTGTGTCATACAACTTATGAGAAGGTTTCGTATCTTGTTCTTGAGAGTAACACACCAGCTTCATTATGACCTTTTATATACTGACAATTATTTAGGTCGAATAAAACATCTCAAATTTTAAGAATTTCCGGGAGTTTCTTAAATGCTTGATTTCTTGATTGACACCATATTTGTTGTGTTTGGAGGACGTGTTTTTCAACAAACAATCGGCATTCCCATGGGAACAAAATGTGCCCCTCTACTTGCCGACTTGTTCCTTTATTCATATGAGGCTGACATCACACAGGAACTTCTTAGGAAGAAAGAAAAGAAATTAGCAGTATCCTTTAACTTTACTTTCCGCTATATAGATGATGTTCTCTCACTAAATAATTCAAAATTTGGTGACTATGTTGAACGCATCTATCCCATCGAACTTGAGATAAAGGATACAATAGATACAGTTAAGTCTGCCTCATATATTGACTTACATCTAGGAATTGACAATGAGGGTCGGTTGAAAACAAAACTTTACGACAAAAGAGATGATTTCAGCTTTCTTATTGTGAATTTTTCATTTCTATGTAGCAACATTCCAGCAGCGCCTGCATACAGAGTATAATTATATCTCCCAGTTGATACGATATTCCAGGGCTTGTTTTTCCTATCATGATTTCCTTGATAGAGGGTTGCTGATCACAAGGAAGCTATTAAACTAAGAGTTCCAAGTGGTGAAGTTGAAATCATCCCTTCGCAAGTTTTACGGACGCCATCACGAGTTGGTTGACCGTTATGGAATATCCGTTTCACAGATGATAGCGGATGTGTTCCTAATGTCGTAACTACAATCCCGTCCCCCTTTTTCCAGAGTTTGACCTACCGAATTAGACTTATTACCGGGTTTGTACTAACATGAGCAACACGACGGCTGCCACATGTGGAGCAGGATCTGCTTACCCTTCCGGAGCACCTGAGATCACTCCCAGTTTTTGGTGGGGTTCGTGTTGCTCAGTCTTTAGTTTTCTATGTTGTTTTTTTGTGTACTATTGTTTGTCTGTTGGTCTTTTTCTTTTTTAGCCATGGCGTTGTCAGTTTATTTTCGACTTATGAGTTTGAATGTCCCTCTGGTATCTTTCGCCTCTCTTTTTTAAACCGATCTAAACATATAACAGAAAAAACTTTGTTTTGAAGAATATCTTGTTTTCAGTAGTTTTACAAAATTTGTATGAATACCTGGACTAGCTCTCAATGGAACCAATTTATATATTAAAAAAAATATGCCAATACACTTATTATTTATAGAAAGATATAAGATACCAGGTTTAAAATTTCGTACACCAGACGAGCCTTTCGTCTACAGAAGACTCATCAGTGACGCTTGAATCGAAAAATTTAAAAAGAAAATAAAGTGCAAAGTTAAATGGCGTTGAGGACCCAAAATTCCAGTTAAAATAATATATTCCTTTGGTAGAAAATCCTTAGTATTTCGAAAATTTCAAAGCTTATAATAGGACAGTCACTCAAAAAAAAAAATAAAAGAAATGAGAAACAGCTAAAGGCCATGACCATGCTTCAAAGTCACATGTCAAGCTCTTACAGCCGTGTCCGGAATTTAGTTACGAAATGCGAAAATTCTCACTCCGTGAATATTTAAGCATGCACGTGGTTTTCTTGCGCAAGAAATAGTATTGATTGATAAATTGAATGTTGGTTGCTAAACGTCGACGGACCATACGAACGCCTAACTTTGGCAAGGGTTTTAACTGTCGGTTGGAAGAAGACCAAGGGTGACCATATTTCTATTCTCAATTCACCCTTTGTTAGGAGTTAATTAGATATAAGAATATGTGGTATGAGTGCCAATGAGACAACTATCCGTCCAAGTCACAATTTGTAAAATGAAACCATTATAGGTCAAAGTACGGTCTTCAACACGGAGCCTTGGCTCACACCGAACAGCAAGCTATAAAGGGCCCCAAAAATGACTAGTTAATTAATACGCATACGCACTGATATTCTGGATTAGAATATGCATTTGCGTTATTATATCTATTTATTCTTGGTTCAAATATAATGTTTTAATTGAATTCGGATGTCAATCTATCTGCCTCAAGTGGTTTGACTCTGGAATCTTTGCCATTCAATCCGCATTTGTGTAAACGCAAACCGATATTGTTAATATCCGATTTTGTTGTGTCGTGTGAAATGGTTACATATAATCTAAATCAATGAATACAGATTGTATTGTTAAATTTGTTATTTGCTCAGGCTATGAAATAAGATGTAAATACAAAATATCCCGTGGTAAACGTTCAGAAAAAATCAATTTATTCTGGGACATAATATATTGTCAGTAAAGTTTTCCCATGTTTATTTTCACAATGCACAATAGCACGTTGTAATAAATACAATACACACAAAGCGTACAGGGACCATCTCATAACATAAATGATAATTATGATTGCGTTATCATTATATATATCATATATTATACTTGATATTTTTTAAACATTCACACCAAAACGTATATGTTCTGTCAAAAGGCAAATAGGTTGCAATATATACATGATTTTTTTTACTGCAATCTACTCTTTTCGATCTAAAAGTGAATTTTGATTGTTGAAATATACAATATCAAGTGGTAGCCTATCCATAGAGGGACCGTACCAAAGACAAAGATAACTACATGAATAAATGATCGAAAATTTTCGAGACGTTCCGGGAATCTTGTTTACGAGAATATCTGAATGGCTCATAGAAGATATCAAAACACCAATATATAGGGTAGAACCCCTAAAAAAAAAGGGGGGGGATGGTTCACGCAAAAAAAATACTAAGAAAGAAAAAGAGGAAAACCAATGGCAGATGTCGGGGGAATAACATCCATACTTCTGCAAAACAAAGTAAAAACGTCAAAATGTGAAAAAAAAATATACTGGCGATCTACTACTCAAAATCCATCATTTTTAAATGAGGTGTTTTTAGTTGTAAAATAAATACTACCTCAAAAGCATAATGGATTCACTTTTTTCTTAAATTTTAGATGATGAAGTTCAACATATATTAATGCATCAATCGTCCAGCTGTTGTAAGATCATTACCTTTGCTGTATTTCTCTTAAATGTTCACGTTATTCCTCTAACTAAAATGTTCACGTGATTTATCTAAATAAAATGTTCACGTGATTCCACTCAATAAAAAAATTACGTGAATCAACATAATACAATTTTCATGTGATTCTCTAAATAAAATGTTCTCGTGATTCATCTAAATAAAATGTTCATGTAAGTCTACTTAATAAAATGTTCACGTGATTCAACTTAATAAAATGTCCACGTAAATTCCACTTAATAAAATGTTCACGTCATTCAACTCAATAAAATGTTCACGTGATTCCACTTAATAAAACGTTCACGTGAATCCACTTAATAAAATGTTCATGTGATTCCATTAAGGCATTTAATGAAATGTTCACGTGATTCCACTTAATAAAATGTTCACGTGATTCCACTTAAAAAATGTTCACGTGATTCCACTTAATAAAATGTTTAAGTGATTCAACTTAATGAAATGGTCACGCGATTCCACTTAATGAAATGGTCATGTGATACCACTTAATAAAATGTTCACGTGATTCCACTTAATAAAATGTTCATGTGATTCCATTTAATAAAATTTTCACGTGATTCACCTTTAGAAAATGTTCACTTGATTCCGCTTAATAAAATGTTCATGTGATTCCACTTAATAAGAAGGTCACGTGATTCCACTTTATAAAAATGTTCACGTGATTCGACCTAATAAAATGTTCACGTGATTCTACTTAATAAAATGTTCATGTGATTCCACTTAATAAAATGTTCATGTGATTCCACTTAATAAAATTTTCATGTGATTCCATTTAATAAAATGTTCACATGATTCCCCTTTAGAAAATGTTCACGTGATTCCGCTTAATAAAATGTTCATGTGATTCCACTTAATAAGAAGGTCGCGTGATTCCACTTAATAAAAATGTTTAAGTGATTCCACTTAATGAAATGGACACGTGATTCCACTTAATGAAATGTTCACGTGATTCCATTTAATAAAATTTTCACCTGATTTCCCTTAAAAAAATGTTCACGTCATTCCGCTTAATAAAAAGTTCAAGTGATTCCCCTTAACAAGATTTCAAGTTAAATCCCTTAATGAAATGGTCACGTGATTCCACCTAATATGGGGACGAAGTCCCCAGTTACGGTAGAAAAATCAATAATAAAAAAAAACAAATACAAAAAAACAAATCAATCTACTAATGAACTAAAAATCGTTAACTTTTGATTTTCTAACTTTTTTATTTTCCCGCATTTGCGCAGAAACC